CACACACACACACACACACACACACACACACACACACACACACACACTCACAAGGCAGGTAGGCCTCACTGGGAGTGGTGTGAGGTTCTCGGAGTGATAATGTTACACATTGTGCACCCTGGACACCTCCCCACTCTCCCTGTCAACCCAGCATTCAAATAGGTCTTGCAGATACCATCGGATGCTGCTGGCCTTTTAATCGTTTCCTCATTTTATCATCCTTTCATGCCAGTCAATGACAAGGAACGTTTATATTTGTTTGACGCAAAAACTGAGAACAAGCAGCAACAATAGGTTTATATTACTGCTGTGAGACATAACACATGATAATGATGGGGATGTTAGTATTTTAAAATGCAAAAGGTCCACAGAGTAGAGAATAATCTTTGTTTTTAACTGAATTAAATTAGAGAACAGGTAATTATATATGAAAGGTAAAACAGAGTCAAGGTAGCCTACTCCTCATTTATAGACAATAATAAAACCCTCCATTGTGTAAATCCATGCTAAAAATAGAGATTATCCTCCAGCCTTTGAAATGTGGATTAATATCCCAGTTCATGTTTACAGTTTTTTAAGTCTGCTGTTAAAGTGAGGATCTGAGTTATTCCACATTATAAAAGCCTTTTTTTAAACCACCTTCGCAGTCCAGACCGCATGATGCAGAAAAAAGACCAATACACCAGAATGCACATTTATAGAAACAGGCGAGACGCATCAACAGCTGCCAGGGCTGCACACACACACACGGGTCAGCCACAGTTATATGGAGAAAAAATGTTTCTCTTAAATCCTTTAAAGACGTTTCAAATAAACCATTTTCCTGATCAGATGCCAGAACATATACGATCTGGTGCAGTTTAAACATGCTTACCCTAAAACTGCTGCCTCACTCCAAATGCATTGTTTCCTCCATGTGAAATGACTAAAGTTGTCACTTGGACAGCCGGAGAGGCAACACAGGGACTTTCTTTCCGTGGCCTGGAAGTGGAGCTTCCGAGTGATGAAACCTTACACCTGTTTCTCCCTGTGATGCAGCGCGGCGTCGCTCAGCGAACTAAAAAAAAAAAAAAAAAAAAAAAGTAGTTCTCCTTTATTTCTCAGCAGGGACACTGGTCCTCGATAGCAAGGCGGTAAAAGCTGTCCTAATAAACCTCCCCCCATCACAAAACGAACCTCCAAGAAGAAGAAGGGGGAGGACCGGAGGAGGCGGAGCTGATAATGTTATTATAGCGCGTGCTGCTGGTTCACGCGACGCGCCAGCCGCCTCGCGCTCTCCGTCTCGTCGAGTCTTCAGCCCTCTCACACCGTCTGAGGCCAGAAATGGTCGGAAATCTTCCGTTTCCGTTTGTGTCTGTTAAGTGAATGATGCCGTGGCTGGCTTCCGTGTGCAAAATGGCCTCTGTTTATTTCATTCAGCCACGGACGAGCGCGAGCTTCCCATTGGGTCACCTTGTATCCATGGTGACGTCCGTGGTTCAATCAGTGCCTGCAGAGGACACAAGCATTAAAGCTCTTACTGAAAAAAAAGTACCACTTTCTGCTTTGTATCTCCTGCAGGGGCACTCAAAAATATTATCTTTATCCATTTAGCTATGTGAGGAAATGATTTATGGTTTATTGATCAATGCACATGGATAGATAGAGTCAGGAGAGCTCTTGCAGCTCATATTTCAAAAGAAATGTGAAGCTATTAACTGATAATGGTAAACACTGACTCCTAGATGTTATGTGAATACTACAAATGGACAGCAAGAAGGTCACAAGTTTGCCTCCCAGGCATTCTGTGAAGAGTCTGCCTGATCTCCCCTTGTAATTGTGTTATTTCCCCCCAGGTACTCAAGTGTCCACCCGCAGACCAGAAACATCTATCCATCTGTTTTGTTTAATTTCTTTCCTAATGAGAGCAACAACAATTTACACCCTCGCTTACACCTAGCATGAATTTAACCTAAGGTATTTTTGTTGTGGGAGAAGGTGGAGTATAGAGAAAACCCACAGGTGCATGAGGAGAACATGCAGACTCCAGAAAGCAGAGTTGACAACACATAGTTTGGGATGTCACATGCAAAAACAAACAAACAAACAAACAAACAAACAAACAAACAAACAAACAAACAAACAAACAAACAAACAAAATAATAAAAACAGATACAACTCTGTAACTCCGACATGAATGCAATAAATTGTAGGTATCAGTGTTTTTTTAAAAGTAATTGATTAACCCTTATCTTGTCTTTTTGATGGTTTAACTGTGGAATTATCCCTCTCTGCTTCTGCCCACCTCTTGCATCTTCACATACAGCAAGCTGTTCAATTATTTACGGACAGGATCATCCAAACTCTTAAAGTCAGAGATATTCAGCAGTCATGAAAACCTAGCTTTGGCACATTATTACTTACATCTTATAACAGGTTTTGTCTCTGTATGTCTTACTTTTCAGCTAAGTCTCTACAACAGACAGATCTGTGTGTGTGATGTCCCACAAGGTAAAATCAAGCAGCCTATTTCTCATAAATAAGGAATAAATGTAAGAATTGATCAGTTTGCTTGATACAAAATCACAATGTTGCAACCAGAAATCACTCATTACTCTGTTTACATCTTTACACCAAAATATAATGTTTAAACCAAGACGATGAAACATGTTGCTTTGGTTAATTAATTATTAAAATGCCTGAAAGCAAACAGTTTAGCTTTCAGCTACTGTTCAGCTCATTTTAGCTTTTATTTTGCTGGTTTGAGCTTCTGTTCYGCTTCTTTTCAGTTGATAATTTAATTTACCCCCCACTAATTTTAACAAAATAAATCAGCGCTCAGCATTCACACTGCATTTTCTATTAAAAAAGGCTATTTCTCTAGCTAACATGAATCATAACTTGCTGTAAGTGATATTAGGATTTTGTAATAAAATCACAGCCAAAAAAAAAATAATAATAATAATCTGTGATTTTTTTCCTTCTTAGCCTACAGATAAAGAGCTCTTATTTCTGTCAACAACTTTWAAAGTGTACAGATTTAGAACTTTATTGATAGCTGACCTTTTTGAAGTGTCAGAGGGGACCACATCTGTGGGTGTGTTTGTGTTTTTTTTTTGTTTGTTTTTTTTTTGCGGGTGCCTGTGAGTGTTCGGTCTTTCAACACCAACTCTTACGTGCAGAACAGAGCCGTTACTGAATGCTGTCAAGTGTGTGCCTTTTTATAGGTGTTGTGTTAGCCTCGGGCATACTATCAGCAGTGCACTTGGAGGGCCAGGGTATATGATGATGACATATTATGTCTGGCATGCAGGAATCCTCGGCTGATACATACAAAGAGCAGAGGACCATTGGCGTGTACACTATTGAAAAATAACCAGGCCAGTATGGCCTCCTGAACCTTTCAACTGTATGTAGTCAGTGTCTTTTGAGAGTCAAGAAGGACGTAAAGAGACAGTTCAGGTATTTTGGATTGCTCATTGCCAAAAGGTAAAGGCAGGCAATAATGTTTTTGCTTTTGTGTACACTTATGTTTATGTCTCATGAACCCCTGGATAGGTTTTAAGAAAACTTTCTGGATATAACCATTGGAAGAACATTTACAACTGGTTAATAATGTATTTAGACCCAACCTATTTCACAATGTCTRTTATCAAAGTTTTAATTTTGACAGTTTTACACATATTGGGCCTCATGCAAGAACCGTTTGTAYGAACAGATTTGTTCTTAATTTGAGCGTAGGAGTGATTTAGGAGAACTTACGAAATTCACCAATTTTCTCGTATTGTAAGATTTTATTTTTCAGATATAMGAACAAAATTCACGAGTGGTCCAGACCTGTCATATATTTTACATGTAGTCAGTCTGCTGTTATCCACACTGATTTTCCTCACTAATAACTTTATATTTCATTAGTTTGAGGATATTTTGAGTTGAAAATAAATCATACTCCATAATTATGTTGATGATAGGCTATTCTGTTTGAATTGGAATTATAATTTTAGATTTATTAATGTAGACTAACAATATAAAGTGTTTTAATTAAAATARATAGGCTATTAATGTTGTTGTATAACACTACAATATTAATATGAAGATCTCAAACTACAAACCAACTTAAATTATGCATTAATTGAAGTTTAATTTGTCTCGGTAATGAGGACAATGTGAAATGATGAACATAATCAGCGGCTTTATTTAGGCATAGATTGGGTTATTTTTTTAAATCAATTTTTATTTTGTTGATGTTTATTCAGCACGTCACTTATGCATGAAAGACTGATTTTCTCCAAAGTGCCAGACACATTTTGGAGATGTTTTAAAATGCTTTCTTGATTCTTCAGAATGGCATCTGACACCACTTGTGTGCGACGGTGGTGGACTGGCACATCGATAGTCCCGGCTGTAGCTCTTCTTCTGAATAAATGAAAATRAGTTAACACAATTGTTTGCACTTAAATCAAAAATATTTGATATYATCTTTTTACTTTGCCTTGCCATTTTCATGAATGGACACTTCCTGGTATGTGAGGCAGGACGCATAGCCTTATATGATATTATTGGGGCGGTAGGTACGCTAATCTCTTCTCCTCGTGTACAAGTACCTGAATAGGTGGCATTCATCATGTTTACGCTGCTTATTTACACAGTTTTCCTAAAGACAGAAGTGTTTGCTGAGTCTGACGTGGCATGTGACAAGCCCTTCATAAGAAAAAAAATTATGAGAAATTTAGGATAAAAATAAAAGAATGTTCTTGCAATGAGGCCAATTGTCCTAAAATCAAGTGTGGTTGTAGCTGAGAGTCATTCACAACTCATTCGCCAAGTGCTACTTATTGTACAAGATCTTTGCTTCAAGCTTTAGCAGTAATTACTGGGGTCAATTTTCTTTGTTAGCAAAATATCCCCTGCTCCTTTGAACTAATTTCAATTGAAAGTAATTATTGTGTTCACAATACATCTACAACAGATTAATATTTGGAGTGGCTATACTGTGAGTGTGACATATTGCATAAGATTTTTCAGTGTTGTTTTTTTTAGTGTTATTTTTAAAGTTTGACCAAAACTGCTACGTGCCCATTACCTCTCAAGAGAAAATGATATCACTTTAAAAATCTGGGATGAACGATGGTGAACGATATGCAGCTCTTCAAGGAAGGAATCAATATTTTGTTTCACAGAATGTTTGTTCAAAAATTGTAACTAAACCCTATTTTATAGCACAAATGGTCCTCATTGTTTGTTGTTTTAAGATGTCAGTGTGTTGACATGATTGCAGTTTGAAAGTTGCCATTTTCTACATAAAATACTGAATCTGACCCATGTTGCTTCATTGCAAAAGTACAGTTCACAGAGTGTATCTGTAGCCTGATTCCAAACTGTGCATCCACCTGCCTTCACATCCACTTCACGTCTGTAATTATCTAACATCCAAGAACGTCCTATCAAAAAACACTCCTTAAAATAGCCACCCCAATAAAGTGCTAAGGCCCAGTGCATGAAGCTTGTGAGAAAATAACTCATTTATCTTAGCGATGGCGCACTCATTCCACAGTTGCTTTCCAAAGAGAAGCCCATTTGGAACAGCTGATACCAAGGTCCACTCRTCTGGTCAGTGTTAAAGTAGCACAGTGGTGCTGAATGTGTTGGTGGCGTATGAGTGCAGGAGGACATTGTCGGGCAGTGACATCATGGTAGGCCCACTTCCATTCCAGACACGCTTTGATGTCTAAGAGCTGACCAGGTGAAACGTCCCCGCAAATCTGTGTTCGGTCCTGCAGCATCTGTTTAGCATYGCTGCCGAAAGATGATGTTTTCAGTGAGCTTGACCTTTGAATCGTTCTTCTTTTTGTATTATTTTAAGTTTACTTCCCATCATTTTTATTAAATTTACCCTACACTATTCACACATTCAAAGACTGCTGTGTTAAAGTATACAATTTCCTGTTTGTTTCAGTTCGTTTGTATTACATTTTTATTTTTAACAGACACCAATAAATATAGCCAAGCTGTCGTCACTCATTCACCATGTTTCAGTTTAYCTTGCCTGCACCACTCTGCCCTCGACCCTGCTGCTCTTCCACACAAATGTAAAAGGTCAGCACTTGCCTTGTAAATAAAACATGTCACCCATGACTTAAATAGTTTATGAAAAGCTGCTGCTGCAGTGTCAGGAAGGACACATATTTGCAAAACACTGGTTCTACATACATACTGTACATACTATACACATGTGTGTGTGTAAGAAAAGAGAAATGACAGGCAAGACAAAAGAAGTGAAGTATAATAGAATGGAAGTAAACTGAGGAGTAAAATAAAAGTCATGAGTAAAATGCTTACCCAGACATGATGACATCATTATTTATCTGATTGCAATGACCTTATATGTATCCTGATATGCTGTAGCTGAAATATGGGAAATGTGAGTAAATATATCTCATTATGCTGGTGCAGGTAAAAAATAATAATAATAATAGTGTTCATTTCTGTTTGTATCATCCTTTTGCATAT